TGTCAGGGAGGGAGGATGCTGGAGGAGGCAGTGGGGCACCCCAAACTCTCGCTCTCCCCCACATCCAGGTACCCACTCTGGGCAGCACATCAGCCTCTCCTGAGTCACAGACAGGACAGAGAGGGGGAAATGGAGGGGAAAATCTTGGCTGCCCATTCCCCCTGGGAGAGGGGAGGGGACAGGAGTGCCAACAGGAGTGAGACTCTGCAGCCTGCACATCCCAGGGTTCCTGGGCCCCAGCTCCATGGGAAATGGGACAAAACCCCAAAATACAACACTGTCAGTTCCTTCTTGCTCCATCCCACCTGGAGGAAGTAGATGGTGTCAGTGCTGGGGACGTTCTCCAGGTTTTGCTTGCACTGTGCCAGCTTGGCTCGTCTCTCCTCCTTCCAGCGGAGATCGGCCTCGGCCTCCCCCAGCATGGAGCGCTCCCCGTCCTCGATGAATCCTGTCACTTCCTTCTGGAAGGTCGCCAGCACCTCAGAGGCCTCTGCAAAGAGCTTCTCGACCCTTTCCCTCTCCTTCGTGGCAGCACCCTGAGTGCAGGGAGAGAGGGGTCAGGTCCCACAGGTGAGGGTGCAGGAGTGCCACCCTTGTGCCCTGCCCAGTTCTCAGCTCTGTGGAATCCCCCTGATGCTCCATCACCCCCTTCACACAAGAACTCAGATCACTTCCCATCACAGCTGCCAAGGGACCTGGCTGGGCATTGCCACTTACTCCTGCATCACATTTGGTGTCCCCAAGCAGGAAAGTGACATGTTTGCACAAGGGCCAAAAGGGACAACCCCCCATGAGCCTGGGGAGACAAGGAGCAAGACCCAGAGGATGCCCTGGCATGGCCCTTGCCCTGTTCCTTCTTCCATGTTAAAAACTAAAGCAACCAGAGATGCCATGTGTGTCAGCAAAGATGAGAAAGAATCCTCAGGGATCTCTACCAGGATCACCATTGTTTCATGGTGCTCTTGTGAGCACCATCTCTATACCCCATGCACCCCAAAATCTCACAGCCCCTTCTCCTCCACCCCCAGCCCAGCAGAGCTGCACCGACAGAGCAAAGCCATTGCAGAGTCACCTTAATGAGCTCTACCATCTTCTTGGCCTGGGCAATGGTGACTGCCAGCTCCTCCAGCTCATTCTCCACATCGCTGAGGAATTTGGCTTGTTGGGCCTGCAGACACGAAGGACAAACACTGAGCTTTACCCCCAGTCCCAGTGGGAGCATTCAGCCTCTCCCTAAGCTCAGTCTCTGACCGTGACCTCGCTACCAGGCTTCATGTGAAGGATGCAAGGGGAACCATCAGTTGTTTTCCTGTTTTCCTTCCCTGCAACATCCAACCTGCAAACATCCCTTCTCACTCAGCTGGAAAACGAAAGGGTCATGTCCAGTTCCACATTCCCCACCCCGGTCCCAGCGGAAACCAAACAAAACAGGAATTCGAAAGCACACCCATCAGGCAGTGATGGCAGCTAAGCGAGTGCTCTTAGCGAGTACCCAGGGCTGGGAAAAATCCACCTGGGTTTGGCGAAGAAGCTGAAAGGCAGGCCTGGAGCACTAAGAAACTCAGCACGGAGTCCCCTGGAGGTTTCTGCTCAGGAGCAAAGCAAGCTTTGCTCTGGAGCACGGGCTGCAAAGGAAGCACCTTCAGAACACGGCGTTTCCGGAGACGCTATTGTTGGCTCAGCCATTGCCCATCACGAGAACGGTTCCCTGGGGAGCCAGGAGGGCGCTCCCCAGCCACGACAGCTCCCCGCTGATGCTCAGCCCGCTGGCCCCGCTCTGGCAGCGCCTGTGCCCGGGGAGCAGGTACAGGTGCTTTCCCCGTGCATCCATCCCAGCCCGCAGAGCGGTGCCCGACGGCACTCACAGAGGTCGTGCAGGCGACATTAAGCAGCGCTTGCCGAGGTCTGACAGCTCCTCGGGGCTGGGATTACGCACACTTTCTATTTTAAGGTACCTCATGACTAATAATGCCGATAAAAGGGTTTTCCTGCAGTCCTAGCGGCCCGCCAGGAGTGGGAGCTGGATTGGGGCTGTTGCTTGGGGCTGGGCTCCTCCTTGAAAAAGACCAAGTTTCCCAAGGTCTCAAAATGCCTCAAGGCTATGCGAGATGCCACCACACCGTGAGCCTCGCAGGTTCCCATCTGCCTCCAGCCCCACAGAGGCCCCACACTTTCAAGGCAGACGTGCCCCAGAAGGCAGCACCACGCCGCGATTGGAGCGCCGGTTCCTGGGAAGGCTCGTGGGTGTGAGTTTAGGAGGTGACTCAGTCACATCTGGGAATGGGAGTGATGGAAAAAGCCCCGCTGCCAAAACGGCAGGATACAAAAGGCTGGGGGAGCGGGAGCGGCGGCCGGGCCGGCTGCCAGCGCGGCCAGAAACACCGCCTTGCCGGAGCTGTGGGAACGACACGGAGACGGCGGCTGCCGCAGGACCAGGGGGTGGCCGCTGTGGGATGTCCCAGGCAGCCTCGCCCCAGCCCTACAGCCACGGGATTGCGAGTTCGGCTCTGCAGCGGGAACACTCCCCACGGGACACCTGGCAGCGGCTCTGCCTCAATAGCCGTCGCCATCTGCCCATCCTGTCCCAATCCCAGGGGTTCCCTGATGGCGCAGCACCCTGTCCATTTGCTGGGGTGGAATCCCCCGAGGGGTGAGAGTACACCCGCTCCACATGGCATCCCGCCCGTGCACACACCCCCCGCTCGGGGACAGGGCTCCCCGCGGGGACGAACCCCTCCGAGGGATGCCACGCGTCCTGCCACCCGCGACACCCGCACACAAGTGTCCCACCCGCGGGGGGACCTCCGCGCCCCTCCCCACCCCACGCACCTGCTTGTGCTCTCGCTCCTGTTCGAGGGGCACCACGTCGTGGGCGCGATGCTCGTGGGCGCGGCAGCGGGAGCAGACACAGCTCTGCTCGGTGCGGCAGAAGCCGTCGAGGGGCTGCAGGTGGCGGGGGCACAGCCCCTCCTCCAGCCGGCGCAGCGGGGCCACCAGGCGGTGTGCGCGGAAAGCCGGGGCGCGGCGGTGCGGCTCCAGGTGCGCCCCGCAGAAGGACGCCAGGCACACCAGGCAGGAGCGCTCGGCCGCCAGGCGGGACCCGGGCGGGCACACATCGCACAGCACCACCGCTCCTTCCTCCCCCGCCGCGTCCTCCTCCTCGGCTCCCGGGGCCATCGGGGACGCGGCGGCCGGGGACGACGGGGACGAGCCGCCGGCGGCGGCCACCAGCAGCGGCAGGAGCTCGCACAGGGCGCGGTTCTTGCAGAGCCGCAGGGCCGCGGGGACGGGCTCCTGGCACAGCGGGCAGCGGGCGGCCCCGCCCGCCCCGCCGCCGTCGGGGGGGCCTGGCCGCTGGCGGAGCGCCTGCAAGCAGCCCTGGCAGAAGTTGTGTCCGCACGGCACCGTCACCGGGTCCCGCAGCACGTCCAGGCAGATGGGGCAGCCGAGGGGACCCTCGGGCAGCCCCGGAGCCGCCAGCGCCAGCCGCAACGCCGCGGCGGAGGACGGCGGGGCGCTCCCGGGCGCAGCATCCATCCCTGAACGCCCCGACCGGCCCCGGTGCCGGTCCCAGCCCCGGCGGGGGCGGGCGGCAGCCGCGCCCCGCCCGCCCGCTCCGCCTCCCCGCTCTGCTGCCCGCGGTGCCAAGGGGGCTGCGGCGTCCTCGGGACACTGAGCCACAGCATCAGCCCCGGGACCTGGTCCCCGGCACCCGCCCTCCTGGGAAGGGTCTCACCCCAAATGGGATCTTCTCTCATCTGGTCCCTCTCCCCGGCTGCCTTCAGGGAGATCAGCTGCGGGGGGATGTCACCCTGAGGATGTGCTGCTCCCCACCCAGGGTCTGCCACTTCCTAAAGGATCTGCCCCACTGGGATCTGGACCCTCCCCGGCGTTCTACTGCTCCCAGGGAAAGCTGCTGACCTTCCCCAAATCTCCCATCTGGGGAAGCTGTTGCCAGCCCATTCCAATCGCCCTCCCAAGGATCTGCTGCTCCCCTTGAGCATTCCTTCCCCCTCTAGGACCTGCTGCTGCTCCACTGCTCCCCAGGTGCTCCCCACCCTGGGACCACATGGAAGGTCCTGAGCCCCCCCAGTGTATAGGTGCAGGTGCTTTCCTGCCAGCCCTCGTGGACCTCCATGGACCTTACATTGTCCCCCCCATGGCCAAAAAGGCTGCAGTGCCCAAGTCCTGGCTCAGCCACTGTCCACTTTTCCTCTGGGGTCTGGAGTCCTGGGTGCTGGCAGGCACCAGAGAGGGATGGGAGACACCAAAGTGCTTTTAGAGTGAAGATCAGCCTCATGAGATCTCTGGACACTTTCTGTGCAGGATACACAGACAGTTTTTTGACTTGGATAAGTTCCCAGGTGCATGCTGTCCCAAGGCCTTACCCAAGGACAGGGCTGGGAGGAGCAGGGAGGTGTTGAGAGAAGCAGGAAGCCCAAGACAAATCTCATCTGTTCTTGAAGAAGGGGATTGATCCATTTAAGCTTTTTATCCCCAAAGGAAAAAATGATGTGATTCATTCCCCAGGAATTCACATCCCCAGCACCTTTGAATCCAGTGCCCAGTTTCACCCCATTAATCCTCGCCAGCACTCCCGCAGGAGCGGGAGGAGACGTCAGACCTGCAGTCTCACCCTTGGAAAAACATCAATGAAAACTTTAGATTTTCTTCTGTGCCAAATCAGCCTTGGAGCAGAGCAGTAGGAAACCAGGTTTCCTTATCACAGTGCTACAGTAAATAAAGCACCTTCTGGCTCTGCTGCCAGCTGATCACTCCAAGGGCTGGTCACAGGTCATGGGAACACTGAGGGGCAGGATGGGGCCCTGCAGGGGTGGCTTTGAGAACAGGGGTACCCAGCTCCCCCCACCCCCAGTGATGCTGGGTCCCACATCTCCCAACAACAGCAAGGTCAAACCAGTAAGAAAATAAAGCTTTATTGGGTAAAGCAGCATTGCACAAAGAGCTGCAGCGTAGAACCCTGAGAAGTTGCTCTGCCAGGCCTGAGAACAACAAGAGGTAACCAAGAAGGGGCTGGGGGAAGCAGGACCTGCCTGCATATGAGGCTGTGTGAGCACAGAGGTCCCTCTGAATTGTTTCAGAGCACCCTGTGGCAGCAGCACCTCCCTCTGGGGTCCCCCTCATCCCAAACCTTCCCCAAGTTTGGGAAGTTTGGCAGGGATAGAAGAAAGAGGAAAATATAATTTTTTCACCTTCTTTATCCCCTCTTCCCTTGCTCTGTCTGCAGGGACAGGCACCCACGGTGAGCTCCAGCCCTGCCATGTTACTAGTGTAATATTTGCATATGCAGATCAAACAGGTTAATTTACATGTCTGTCCTCATCAAGCTCTTGTTAAAACGCTGCACTCCACACCTGCCTCAGCGCTGAGGTCCCACTGTACCATGACAGCCTCAGCTGCAGCTCCATTATGGCACCAGCCTGGGACATGCCAGCCTGGCTATGGCTCAGTGTGGTGGCTCTGGCTCAGTCCCTCTGGCACAGCGTCACCATTCGCCCCTCACACAGCCAAAACACGGGGTACAGGGGCTCTGTGAAGACACTGTGGAAGGAGTGGATGAGCTTTGTCCTCTCCCCGAGGCCATAGAAGGAGAGGAGCCCCTTGCCATAATCCAGGCTGACCCCCAGGTTCTTATAGAGTTTCTCCTGGATTTTCTTGGCCTGGCCCTTGTGCCAGGCCAGGTAACAATCCTCCCTCACCTGCAGCCCCCACGAGCCCCCGTCCAGCCCGATGTTGAACCTGCAGCCCTGCTGCTGCTCCCAGGGGAGCCCCCGGTAGGTGACCCCCAGCACGACAGAGTGGCTGGAGATCCTCACCTCCCAGTAGTGGTGGCCGGGGCCATAACTCTGCGTGCACAGCACCTGCCAGGGCTCGAAGCGGGGGCCCTGCTCCTGCCCATGGACGGCACCGGGACCGTGCTTGGCTTTCCGGGCACCTTTCGACAGCTCCAGGTACTTGTTGGCTGTCTTGGGGTCGAAGGTCAGGTTGCGATGGTCTGGGAAGAGCAAGGGCATGGATGGGGCTGAAATGCTTCATCAGAGCTTTATGCCCTCCCAGCAGTGATGGGGTTTAAATTCTGTAGGGCTGGCTCCCAGAATGGAACAGGTTGTTTGGAAGGGAAGGGGAGTGGCGAGGATGCAGTACCTGCCCTAGAGGGAATGGAAAAGCCCAGGAATAGCTGTTGAGGCACTCACACACGATGCTTTACACAGTCCTTGCACAACCCAGCTCACAACCAAGTAGCCATTGTGACCACAGTGGCTCTGTGGCCATTTTGGCAAGGATGTGCTTGGTTTTAAGAGTGTGGGTTGGGAGAGGGGGAGAAAACCAGGTGTTAAGTGAGCAATTATGGTATTGCAGGGTTACTCTCCTCTGCATGGGCAGTGATAGCTCCTGCCATGGGCATTCACTAGCCACCAGCACCCCACCTTCCTCCCCCAACACTCCCAGCTGGCTGGGCTCCTGCCTGCTGCCCATAAATAACACAGAGTTCCTATTAATAGCCCTAAGAATGGAAGGAATTCCTACAGGTCCCATAGGCAGTGATTGCCTCCTTGAGTGACATGACCAACATGGCCTGAACATTACCCGACCCTCTTCCCAACAGGGAGGAGATGGGAAGAGGAGCACAGAGGATTTCCTAAAGACAGGAGAGGGATGGGCCTGGGGAGGAAAGGGGACATGAAGGACTGTAGCTAGGAATGCTAATGCCATATCCCTGGATAGAGAGCAATGACTGCAGGCAGGGCCCTGGACTGGGGCTATGCCATGCAGGGCAGTGACTAATCCAATACCAGCCTGAGTTCCGTGGGAAAGCATTTCCTCGTGCTGCTAATCCCCCTAGTGAGTCCTTTCCCATCCCAGCCCATGCACTCTGTCCCTACACCCCCCTTCTCTGCATTTAAGGAGACACATTGGAAGAACCAGGGAAGGAGCCCCTGTCCCTGCAGCCACAACCACCCTCCTCCCAGGAAAGAGCCCAGCTTGGTGACAACTCTTCCTGCTGGGGACCCCAGTGAGGTGCTGTCCCTCCAGGCCCCTGTGCTCCTTACCCTTCAGGAGCTCAGCTCGGAGCTGGCACGTGGGGAGAGGGGCCACAGCCTTCACTGCCAGCTCCTGGGGATGCACTGGGCCTGTGGAGGAGGGGAACAGGCATTTTGAGTAACACCACCCAAAAACTTTCTTCTGGCTTCGTGGGAAGGAGGAGGAGAAGGAGGAGGAACTCCATTGTATCCAAACCTGGGAGCTGGCATGTGCCACCATGGTTCAGCATTCCCAGCAGGGAGGGGCCACAGGGAGGCCACTTAGCTCATCCCACTTCATCTGCTGAGCAGTGAATGTGTGTCCATCCCAAACCCCTGTGCCCAGCAGCTGTGTCCCCAGCAGTGACACAGGCCAGGCTCATCCTCAGGATGACTCAGAGCCCTTCAAAGTACCCCTGAGAGCAGGAAGGTTACCTTGGACAGTGGAGTCTGGGGCTTTGGGGGCCACAGAGCCAGGCAGGTCCTCCAGCAGGAGCCTGGAGATGCTGGTGAGGATCTCAGAGATGGGTTTGATCACAGCAGCCACATTAAACTCCACGGGCACCAGCACCTCTGGGCTCTCCAGAGGTGGGAGCAGGGGGAACTCCTGCAGACAGACACACAGACACCATGTACCACTCTGGGGAGGACTGTGCAAACCCATTTGCACTCACCATGTCTCCCCAGCGGGCAACAGGGGCATCCCAGCATTGCCCACACAACTTTTCAGGGACTCCCAAAAAACATCTCTTCCCCATAGCCCCATCACATCCCTGAGCCAAACTGAGGATGCATTCCCAGTGGGAATGGGTTGAACATGATTGTGCTGTCATCAAAAAGGTGCAGGTGTAAGCCAACAGAAGGACACAGTGCCAGAGTGGTACCTGCAGGAAGGTCCTGTGGTCAGGACAGGCCAGCAGGCTCTGAGCCCTCTCTCTGTGCTGGCCAAGGACATCCAGGCGGTCCTTGCACAGGTTCCAGTTCTTGTCCACACACTCCAGTGCCGCACTGTGCTCTTGCTCAATCCTGGCCACTGTCTGACACTGGAAATCCTCCAGAGCTTTCTTCAGGTGGGTAAATTTGCTCTGAATCCCAGCCTTGAACTCCTCAGAGCAGTCCTGGGCAGGAAGAGCCATGAGAACCAGTGTGCTCCCACACACAGGCCAGCACAGGGAGGATGCAGCATTACCTTGATGCTCTGTGTTTTCACCTCCAGCTCCTTCATTGCCAGCTCAGTCCTCTCCAATTCCTCCTGGGCTTTTCCCAGAGATTCTTTCAAAAAGGTCTGTAAAAGGAGCCACCAACATAGAATCATTATAGTTGGAAAACACCTCCAAGATCATCAAGTTCAACCTATGGCTGAACACCCTCACCTAGCCCTGAGTTTCACATCCAGTCATTTCTCCCAGTCATGCCCAGTTGCACATCCTGTGGAACAGCCCAATGCTGCTCACCCACCCCCAGGACTCTCTCAGGGCTGCAGGACAAGGCTAACAGGGAAGAAGGTAGTTTGGGAAGGGGACTCTGTGTAAAGATAACAAAGAAGTGATTCTTTTGTGCTGCCCTTTACCCCCTTTTTAGCTGTTTCTTCTAGATCAGAGGGCAACAAACACAAAGGGCACAGTTTGTCTTGTGCTGCTGGATTTACCCAGCTCACTGCTGCTCCTGACAACACCTGGCTTCTCAAGAAGCAGCTGGGCACTGGTGGCATCTCCCTGGCCAGCCCCACGTCCAGCTGAGGCTGGGCAGTCTGGCACACAGAGGGACATCACATCCCTGCAGCAGGACACGGGGCGGTGGAGGTGGATATCACGCATGAGCTATCACAACACCCCTTGCTCTCCCATCGCCCCAGCCCTGTCACCCGCCTGCTTTTTGGCTCGTTCCTCCTCGAAGAGCACCCTCCGGTGCCGCTGGCAGTCGCGGACGGTGCAGATGCAGCAGATGCAGCGCCGCTCGTCCTCGCAGTACAGCTCCAGCGGGCGCCCGTGCTGCCGGCACAGCTCGGCGGGGGCCGCCGAGCCCATGGCCGAGCCCCGAGCCTCACTGTCCTGGGCCAGCTCCACCACGTTGTACAGGGTGACATTCTTCTCCAGCTCCGGGCACCGCTCGAAGCCCCTGCGGCACTCGGGGCAGGTGTAGCTCGGCTGGGTCCCGGCGGCCGCCTGCCTCTGCTTGTCCCAGTGGTCGCTGATGCAGCGCTTGCAGAAGTTGTGGCCGCAGGGCAAGGTCACGGGCACCCTGAACAGCTCCAGACAGATGGAGCACACCAGCTTCTCCTCCAGCTTCTGCGAGATGGGTGATGCCATCCTGCCTGTGCCGGGGAAACAGGAACTCCAGAGCGCGGAGGAAGAAGAGCTGGTGACGCCGTGCCGAGGCGGGGCAGGGCTCCCGGCCAGGCGCTCCGAAGGTGACACCCGGCGGCTGCTCCCTCCTCACACTGCCTGTGCCCAGGGAGGCTTGGAGCTGTTTCCCCGTGGAGAGGGAGGGCTGTGAAGCACAGGAGAGGATGGAATCTCCACATCCGGAGAGGATGGAATGCTGCGGTGACAGCACAGGGAGACGAGCAGGAGGCCGACAGGGATCAGCGCAATGTGTATTTCCACGAACGCGTTTGCTGGGCACATATGGATGTGCAGCTGGATTTTCACTCCTTTATTGCCCTTTGAGGGAACTTCCAGGCATCCTCAGCTCTGCCAGGTCTGGGTCTCTGAGCTGAGCGTTGCAGTTCCCCCTGGCATAGAGACCTCCATACAGAGCTCCTGCCTGGGAACCAGCAGAGGCACCCACTGCTCTGCAGCCACGTGTCACCTCCCTGTGCGGTGGCAAGGCTGTGACACATGCCAGCACTACATTCTTCCCTTGCATCTTTTAAACCACAGCTCCTGCTGTTTGCCATGTCCCCATGCACACCCACCACACATGGGAAGCTTTCCTATGAACTTCCTTGCAACACCCGTGCACATCAGCACCCTGAAAGGCAATAAAGATGTCATCTGTGCCACCTGTCCCTGCTCAGGTGGCAGGTGGAGTCTCCTGCCTGGAGACCAGTGCGGTGCCTGTGCACTGCAAACCTTCATCTCATTGTCACACAGTTCAGTTTTAGTTTTCCCAGCCCAAGTTTTACCTCTGTACCAGGCCCATGTGCTATCTTGCACACGTTCCCAGGCTGTTGATGCTGCTGGGACAGCCTCGTTTTTCAGCAGCCTCCCCTCATGAGCAGCTTCCCTTTCACCTGCACAGGTGAGGGCACGCAGGGAGCAGGTCTCTGGTGGATCATCCAGACCAGCTTCCATACCACAGGCAGGCTCAGAGCCACCCCCTGACCACAGGAGAGGACCTGGGATATGTCACAATTCCCTGCATGTCCCAGCAAGCTTCAGCTCCAAAAATTCCTTTAGGCTGCATCTCTCAATTCTGACCAAATATTTAAAGCCCAGAGAGGCATAACATGACCTCTGTGTCTGCCTGGAACCTGTGTCTCCACCATGGGCACCTCCCCAGTGCACTCACCCCACCTTAAACCAGACCCCAGAACCCTTCAGGCTGGGAGGGGAGTTCAGGGAGCTCTGGAGTAACTGGTAACAGCCCTGAGCACAGGCAGCAGGGGCCACCTCAGCCCAATCTCAGCTGTTTGCTGAAGGCTCCAATTTCCTGGTAGAAGGAACCTCAGAAAAAGTCACTGAGAAGCAGAGCTGGGAAGAGGCAGCTGTACCAACAGGAACATATTGGGGGTCCATGTGAACAGGAGATGCACAGTGGAGCACAACAGAGAGCAAAGGCTCTCCAAGGCCTGGGAACGGGACCAGCAGCAGCAGCAGTGCCAGGCCATCAGCAGCAGCAGTTCTGCTTCTGCTCCACCTGCCCACGCCAGGTATGGCCTGTCCAGGGAGAAAGGTGAAGGAGACTGAGGTCCAGGAGCTTGGGTAGCTGAAGGCACCTCCACAAGCACTGACCTGATGCAGGTTTACCACCTGTGTAGCCACACTCTTCCCAAACTAAAACATCCAAGAAGGGAAGTGACTCTGGCCACACCCCTGCACCCTGCTGAGCTCTGCGCCAACTGGCCAGGGTAACAAGTTCTTCCCAATAAAGACAGCTCTGCCAGCACTGCTCAGAGAGTGTTTAATCAGACTCATCTCTTCAGGAGGACTGCACAAATAAAATCTGACACAGTCCTGAACTGCAGCACTGTAAGAGGAGGAAATCCAGGCTGGCCTGGCTCTGTTTGTTCCATAAACAGGCAAAAGGAGAACTGGGATCCTTGCAGGGAAGCAAGACAGAGCATCTCTGGGGAGATGCAACCTGCCAGCCACTGCTCAGCTCTGCTGCAGAATCAGGAGCAAGGTTTCAGCCTGGCCATGGATTCATTTTGAATGTTCTTGTTAAGCAGCCTCTTGACCACGCAGCTGCCAGCCCTGTGAGCACCCAATGCCAGCTCCCAGCACAGGAGAACCAGGAGCTGAGGGGCTGAGACTTTGTCATTTCCCTCCTGAGGCACTGAGGGCAGTGCAGAAAATCCAGGACCCAGCATCCCACAGACACAGAGGGGGACAGCTCCTAGTAAATGCCGTAGGTGGGCTCCTCTGTGTCTCGGTACCTGTCCAGGTACCTCAGGGGCTGGTGGCGAGGGAACTTCACCTGGGGAGGGTGGTAGGCAGGCGGCCGCACGAACTCGAACACGGGCTCCCTCATGTCTGCAAGGGGTGACAGGGTCAGCAGGAGGGCTCACAGCTGAACCCCAAACCCCCCTTCACCCACACAGGACCAGGGCTGCTCAAACACGCCCAAGGAGTTATTTTAAAATCCTCATCCAAGGATTAGGGGTTGTTCTTTCAGGCTGCTGTTAGTTTGGAGGAGAATGGCTCAGGAAGGGCTTTGTCTGTGCTGACCCTGGGCAAGTGCGAAGACCAAGTGAGAGCCTGCAGCCACAGGGCCATGTCCCACCCACAGACCCCCTCCAGCATCCCCATTCCTTACTGAGCAGCTGATGGAAGGTGGAAGTGACAGAGCTGTCCCACCGACACTGGAAAAATGCCAGCCCTGCTGGGGTCATGGCATCCTCATGCTTTCTGTAGAAGTCAAATGTGCTGAAGGTTCTCATCTTCAGGCTGTAGCTGGAAACAAGACACAGGCACCAGGTGAACCTTTCCTTGCAGCAGTACCCTGCTCCACATCACCCCAGGGCATATGAAAGAGGTGGAAAAGGAAGCCACTAAAAGGAAATCTCCCAGTGTCTCCAGCTCCATGCACACTTCTGGGCAGGACAAACCACTCTCTAACAGCCTGTTCTGTTACCACAGGACTCAGCAGTGCTGGGATTACGGCTGCAGAGGACAGACAAACCCAAAGCAGCCTGGAGAACTCTGCAGAGTGACAAGAGCTTCTCCTCTACTGCAATGGCAGGTACATGAACCCCACAGGCAGCAGCAGCCAAGCCCTGCATGCGAGCAGAGGAATTACCACGGTGTGGGCCGAGCATCCTGGCTGAAGTCGATGGGACCGTGTTGCTTGAAGAGCAGGAAGATGAAGCGGTGGTAGCCTGTCCCCATGGCAGGGAAGGGGGGCAGGTAATGGCACATCTCCTTACCAGCCTTGATGTCACTGCCTGGGATGTTGGTCCTGAACACAAACACATTTACACTCATTTCTCTCCAGCAGATTCATCCAGGACTGCAAATCACTCTGCCATGCTGTGATGTGATTTCTGCCCCATTTGATAAGGGAACAGATAGTAGAGATTGCTTTCACCACAGGAAAAATCCCACCCAGTGATTGGAATGCTAAACAGCAGCAACATCTGGAACACCTGCATCCTTAGAAGGACCCAGAACACAGGGCTAAAGGAACTAATGGCAAAAGCACCAGGAAAAGCCATGGATTCTGAGCTGCTGGAGAAATTTCTGCCCAATCCACAAGCACAGAGCACATGGCTCTGATGTACTCACACCAGCCAGTGGAGGTACTCTGAGTCTGCATCCCTCAAATGTCCATCTGCCAACACACAACAGAGAAAAGTGACTTAGGGACACCCTAGTGCCAGCACTGACCCCAAAGTGAGAATGTCCAGATCTGCTTTGACCAGAAGGAGCAGCTCAAGACCTCCCAGCATTCCTTCCCTTGCAAAAAAGGAACTCATTCCTATAGGACTGAGTTTAAAATGAGGAGCAAAGAACTCGGCAGATCTAATTCAAAGATTCTTGAAATCTTCTTGGATGGCTGCATCCCTTCACTGTGCCTTGGTTTCTCAGGGTGAACAGTGTCAGCAAAGCTGCCTTCCAGGCAGACTGCCAAGGAAGAGGAGTTTGGAGGTAAGCAAAGATGAAAGTCAGGTAATTGTTTCCTCTACAGTGTGACTCAGGTCCTGCTGTGTCGCTGTCCCTTCTCTCAACTGCTACAGATTAGGGGAGGCCACAATCTTTCCTCCATGTGTAATATGTCCCAAACTAACAGATATCACAGAATCACAGAACAGTTTGGGCTGGAAGGGACCTTAAAGCTTATTTCATCCCACCCCCTGACATGGGCAGGGACACCTTCCACTAGACCACGTTGCTCCAACCTGGCCTTGAACCTTTCCAGTGTTCATCATCTCTGTGTAGCCAAAAGAATCAGGAGTTTACCAAAAGTGAAACAGCCCAGTTTAAACACGTTCCTTTAAAGAATTCGCTGCTCACCTGGATTTGTGAGCAACAGGGTCCAGAGGGAGCCTTTGTCTGCCTCATACGACACTGCAGGGGGATTGGAAGCCTAAAAGAGCAACATAAAGAGAATGTAAATCACTCACACAACTGCATCTGTGAACTGTGTCTTGGACACAACACAGACTGGGCACTGCCAGGCCACTGAGGAATCCACCTGGAGAGCCTCAGGGCATAAATAACCATCAGTCTCCTGACAGACAAGCTACAATCTCTGTCCCTATCACATCCATAAAGCAGTTTCCCTCAGCACAGAGGTAACACCCTTGTAAAAGGCATCCCCTGGAATGAACCGTGCCTGTTGGAAGCACCTGGCAGAAAAAAGCTCCCCAGGGGCTCCAGGTTGTTCCCAGCTCCCCTCACACACCTCTGAGGGAGTCACCATGTTCCCATAGTAGACTGGCACGAGGTGCTCATCCTCCTGGCTGTACTGCACCCTCAGGGCGACCCAGGGGGTGAAGGTGGCCCCCCTGAACAGGTCCCGGAACACCCCGCAGTGCTTGGCCACGCGCTGCTTGTGGAACGGGCCACTGGTCCTCTCCCACTCAGCCCTGACGTCGTCGAGGGGAATGAGCACTGCAAGGAGAGAGGGAGGATGCAGAGGCAGCAGCTGG